GTTTTATGGCGGTTGGCAAACAACTTTTGGTGCATTACCGCCACCAACTGCTTGATTTCCTCCTTCAATACTGGCAGTAATACCACAGATTGTCACTAGGAGGCGAGGAACCGAGCTCGGCAAATGGGGTATTAGAGTTAAACTCAGAACCTCCCGGACCCAAGCCCAATACTCCCCTTAAAACAACTGGAGATGCCGGGGATTGAACCCGGGGCCTCATACATGCAAAGCATGCGCTCTACCACTGAGCTACATCCCCCCTGGCATATTTTCACCAATATCAAGATGTAAGATTTTCTTCCTAATACTGAAAGAAGACCTCTAAGAGGCTGCAGGACAACCACTCTTTGACATATACATTTGATGCAGATGGCCGCTCACACTGAGCCTGGTTCTGCTGTAGGTTTCTTCCTGTTAAAAGGGAGTTTTTCCTCTCCACTGTCGCTACAAGTATGCTTAGTGTGAGGGATTGCATTTGAGTCAATGAATCGATGCAATCAACTGGTTTTCCTTAGAAAACTTTCCATCAATCTGACTGTATGATCTGGTGAACTGTAATGTGCCTTGAAATTACACGTGTTGTGAAATTGTGCTATATAAATAAACTGAATTGTTGGTTTAGGTCAAAGCAGATTTTTTCATAAAATGGTCTAGTCAAAGAAGTACAGACTTAAATTTATTTGAGAATCAGAGAATTTTAGGTATTGATTGTTCATCGTTGTAATCTGACAAAATTAAGCGACAGTTAGGGGGAAAAAAATCTGTTGGATGAATCTTTCTTGATACAGTATCAACCTTCCTCCTCTTTTCATACTCTCATCAGGTAAAGCAGGAGTGTGGAGAGAATGTACCCTTCCTGTCAGACAGCGAGCTCATGTCCCTCTCTGTGCGGGAGTTAAATCTCCACCTGCGAGGCCTCTCCCGCGAGGAGATCCAGAAACTAAAGCAGCGCCGTCGGACCTTGAAGAACCGCGGCTATGCTGCCAGCTGCCGCGTCAAACGCGTTTCCCAGCGAGAGGCCCTGGAGCAGCAGAAAATGGAGCTCCAGAGAGAGGTGGAGCGACTTGGAGCGGAGAACGCCGGCATGAGGAAGGAGCTGGAGGGGCTGGGCGCACGTCTGGCCGCCCTCCAGAGGTTCGCCAGGGGTCTGGAGGCCGGAGGAGGAAGCCTGCTGGCCACAGCTCCACGTCTTAACACCGCCTCTGTCATCACCATCGTCAAGAGTCCACAGCAGCCTCAGCAACAGAGAGAGCAGGAGCCTTCATAGAAGAGCCGCCAGAACTAGACAAGGGTGGGGGGTGGGGGGGTCAGGTTGTCTTTAATGCAAACACAGACGTAGGCATGGATTTTGAAAACAAACCACAGACAAAAACAAGAGCAACAAGACTAGATCAGTAGGAAAATACTAAACATGCCGTCTGCACCCTTTTCACATTATGTATGCAGAAGTGATTTACCTCAGTGCAGCAAGGTGTGTAACGTTGCCTAGCAACAGCAACTTAGATTTTCTATACAGGCAGCAGGAGCGGTTGAGAAGTGGCCCGGGACGTGTCCTCTGACTCCTGCAGCAGGGATGACTGGGAAAAAAAAAGTCCTCCACTGTTTCAGCACGAATACTTTAGAGCAGAGGGTGAAAGGCAACGAGAACTGATAGTCAACCATCTACAAAACATAAACTCACTGTACCGCAGACATTAGTCGGCTGGACTTTGTCTGAAGCTGGACTGACCCGGAGTTACTGTACTGTAAATAAGCCACATGTGAGGCGGGGGCTTGATCAGACGTGTGAAACATCCTCCTTCCTGCTGAAAGCATCGATGTTCTGGGCTCGGCCATGTTCAGGAAGAATAACAGATGCAGTAAAATTATTATTTCAACGAAATTCTCTTCTTCTGTGAGCCAAAAAGGGCCTAAAGGTTAAATATGCTGCAGGAAATGTTGTTGGGCTAACTTTCCCCCACTGTCATCCTTATTCTTCACATGGTCTCATTAAAACGCATCAACACAGTGCCTTCAGTGTATGCAGGAGCTCCAAGAACCCAAACCTGAACAGAAAGAAGGAAAAGCAGAACCTAATCATTCCTTCTTTCCTCTTTCACAACCACAACACTTTCATTATGATTGCTGTGGATTTTCTAGGTTTCCCACCTCCCTCCCCTTATTTTACAAGCCCTGTTGTGCAGTAACCTGGTTACCGTCTACCGCGGCGTTCAGTTTATCTGGTATCTGGTGGGAATCCGGCTCACGTCAATGCAAATCCTCTGAAAACATTCCAGTTTTGTGTTACTTTTAACGTCCGTATGTGCTGCAGAGACGAAAATGTTGAGTGACATTTTGAAGAGATATATATTCTATATTTTATTTGTATTTAATGGTAGATATTATGAAAAGACAAGCTAACGAGTGCTGTGATGTTCTTACATGTTTTTCAAAAGTACTTATGACTAGTCTGAGAAGATTCCCATGTCTAATTATTATTGTGTTGTGCAGCAACAAAGATTGCAAAATGTTAATAATTAGCTGCGTAGAAATACTCAAAGCCAACCGCCATATTGATGCATCAATAAGTCTCTGTGTGATTTTTTATTTTATTTTATTTTTTTTGTGTTTATTGCCATATTTGTAACAGCTTGTCACAACCGATTCCAGAGAGGGACGTTTATTTTTGTAAGACGATCTGTTTGTTTAAAAAAGAGAATTACCAGCTGGAAAGGTGGGAGAGAGAAGGAGACGAGATGAGGAAATAACAGGATGATGGAAAATGAAAGTAGAAGCTGAAGGCAGGAAGAGAAAGTGCAGAGAGGGATTGGTGATGGTTTCGTTGAATAGTCGTAGCAATATAGATATGAGTAAGAATCGTAACACAACCATGTTGCAGACTAACTTCTAAAAAGAAACGAGGCGTATATTTAGCGAAGTAGGAGGGCCGTTGTGGTAAAGCATTTATTCCCGATATTTTAACGTTCTTCCAATCGTGCTGGATGTTTTGTAATACCCACAAAACAAAATGGTATTTGTATTTATTACCTGTATTTTTTCTATTGTGAAAATTTAAGTACATTGTCTATTTTATATATTAATAATAAATGTTGTACATATTGTACATAAAAAACAGCTCTTGTGGGAATTTTTTGGGAAAAAAATAGCTGTAAATTTAAAAAAGAAAGAAGGAAATTATACTGAAACTTTAGCAGAGGGTCTAGATAGAGGCTTTGGGATTCCTCTAGTCGTGATTACAAAGATCAGTGGGAAACTTGGTGCTTAATTGCCAAGGGGCAAAAATCTGGAATCAGGCAAACAGCTTAAAAATTAAAATATCATTACCTGCTGATTCACAGAAGGAAAGGGAGAAAAAAAATTGGAAATATGTTCTCAAATAATAAAAATGTATGAGGATATAATTCTAAGTTTTTTTTTTTTTTACTTGGATTCTTAACCCTTTAAAGCTCGATCCAAGAATAAAACAAAACAGAAAATTACTTTTATTTGGTTTGAATTCCTTATTTGCCCTTTTAACAAAATATGTAAAAAGAAAAAACAGAAATACATTTTTGATATTAATAATTTATTACTATGCGATAAGTCAAGATTATTTTTTGTGTAGTCTTCTACTGGCTGTAACCAGGTATATCTGATTGTGTACAATAGGATTTTGAGCAAATTTTTTACCATTAAATTATGCAAAAGGTGTCAGATACAAAACATTTCAGAAACCGTATGTAAAAAATACATTTGGCATTATAGGGTTAATCCAAACCTTGGGAATCTTTAAACTGATCTTCAGGCTGTCTATTGAAGGCGTTTTAATTTCATCTATTTACTTGTCAGAAAAAAGTAGAGGAAGAACAGGATTAAAATGTCAGATAGAATCCTGGCATCCAAACTGGGCCACCTTCAGGTTTCACTGGGAGGTAAGAAGTTGCTGAATCATCGTTTCACAGCTCAGCTCTGGAACATATCAACCCCGAATGATAAAACATGTGGACCAAGTGATGATCCAATGAGCTCATTGAAGCTGGAACACTTGGTCCAGAGAAACATGGATCTATCAAAGCATAAAAAAATAAATAAATAAAGAGAAATATGGACCCAATAAGCTTTTATTCTTTTCCCCTCCTGGTGACATCACAGAAGTAGCGCTTTAAGCAGCAAATACAAACAACTAATAACAAAATTATGACATAAAAATAGAAAAACGCTTATTTTTACATAGAAGCACTTAAAGTTGATGGGAAACAGCAGCTTCCTCAGAACTAAACAAACATTACAGAAGAACGCTGCGGAGAAACAAGTGAAGAGAAACAATCAGGAGGGAATTCTGGGATTAAAACAGACATTTTTATTTTATTTTTAAACATGAAAACATAGAAATCCAAAAATAAGCATTAAAATGATCTGGTTTATATAGATCTAAAATGGGCTTCAGCTCCAATGTGCCTCTTTCCTGTTTATAGCTAACATAACATCAGGCTCCAACTAAATAAAAGAGCAGGGATTTCCTCTTTTCTCCAATAAACACAGTTATAAAATATCCAGACCTTTTGCTGTTCTCCTTTTACCAAAACTGAGGTCTGGGATCACTTTAGGTTGGTGGATAAGATAGACCTCCAGAGCGCCCTCTGGTGGTCACACTGAACTACAGCAGAGAAGTGAAAGTACTAACAAGTAAACAAGTTGGCATTTTCAGCGTGACTCATTCAGATGACTCAAGAAATCCCATAATGAGTAGAAAAAAGAAAGGCAGCTGTTTATGCTGAGATCTAAACAACCACATGAAAAGAATCAGTAGGAGAACTCCCCCTCACCAAAATATTCACTTTCCAACTGAATCTAACATTTCTGACATTTCTACAGTAACTACAAGGCATTGCTATCCAGATGTTAGGATAAGCAATAAATAAAGTTACACCCTTGGTTCTCAGAGAAACAGAAAGATTTAGTAAAGCCGACCGGCAGTGGTTACCGTGGGCGAGTGCAGACTCAGTTGGAAACATGTTAATCAGAGCCAATCAGGACCATGTGGTTAAACTGCTCAGATTTAAAGTTGAAAATAAAATCATTGTTTTTCAAAGTCTGTATAATTTTAGTGCAAAATGGTTGATTTTTAGTTGTTTCCAAAATAAATATGGTCAAAAAGAAAGTTTATTGTTTTACAATTTAATAAAAGCGCCAAAAACATGAGCTGACATCAGCAGTCTGCTCTGACCTAAATCTCTTTAGCCAACCCGCAGCGGACCAGCTCCAGCAATCTTTGCCTCCCTCCCTTGTGTTAATATCAATAACGACATGGATCGATGCTGATGACCTTAGCATTGGACCTGGCAGCCAGCCCACCAATTAGCTGAGATCTTTACTGATTATCAATCCATATTCTTTGACCCATGATGCTGGAAACAGCTCTAGGCTCATCAATCTAGATTTAAGATAAGCCAAAGCATTCTGTAGATTTTTTTTTTTGCATGTAAAATAATTAAAATAACTTAAAGATGAAATAAAAACTATAATATCTATAAAATCTTAATATATTTAATAAATATGGAGCCAATGTGGCATTTGTTGGGACACCTAACAGTGATGGTAATGCAGCACAGGAATGGGGAGGGGTTGACTCAAGCAGAGAAGCAATGTGAGAGGTGTGGTTGCTTTTGCATTATCCATCCATCCATTTTCAGTCACGCTTATCCCAAGCGGGGCCACGAGGGGTGCTGGTGCTTATCTCCAACTGTCATTGGGTGAGAGGCGTACACCCTGGACAGGGCAACGCAGAGACAAACAGGACAAGCAACCATGCACACCCAAGGAGAATTTGGAGAAGCCCATTAATCTAACGGTCATGTTTTTGGACAGTGGGAGTAGCCGAAGAGAACCCACGCATGCTCATGGAGAACATGCCAACTCCATGCTGAAAGATCCAGGACTGGGAATTGAACTCGGAACCTTCTTTCTGCAAGGCAGCAGTGCAACCGACTGCGCCTCTGAGCAGCCCTGATTTTGCATTAGGTAGAATAACTAGAGAAATATAGATAATATCTACAAATATCCTCTATCTGCCATAACATTTCTAGGGCAAACCATCGGATGAGAAAAAATAATAATTTGCAACAATCCGCAAAAATATAAAAATAAGGTTCTATCTGAGGATTTCAACTGTCCAAGCACTAAATCAGCATTGTGTGTTACCACAAAATAAGACATTGGGTGTTGCAGAAATGTTTCAGCATGAAGGTCCCACAGACGTCGAGCACACAGCCATCATAGATTAGAGTTCAGCAGGCTGGGTAGTGTACCATCCGCTCTCTATGTTTCAGCCCAATTAAGATTCAGCTGCAGTGAGAAGAAATTAAAACAAGTCCTGGAAACGATCCGCACTAGAATTCATCGTCTGAGCTGAGCAGGAGGGTTTTCTCTGTGTCGCTGCGGGGCCCGAGCAGATTGTGTGCGCGCAGGACCGGCGGCGGCGCCCCCTGCTCCAGAGTGGATTGCTGCGTATACTGCTGGTAGGCTGGAGAGAAGTTGTGGATGGCGTCTTGGACCATGTCTCCTGGGTTCATCGTCTCCTTTAGGCTGCTGGAGATGCTCTTCATGGGGGCACAGCGGCCTGAGGAGGAAGAAGGAGACACCAGCGATTAGGTAAGAAGAGGATTAGATAAGTAAAAAAATGCCTTAAAACTAAAAATGCGACATTAGGAATAAGGTTGCTAAAAAAGAGAAAAACTAAAGGAGTCACAGAGACTAAAGGAGTCGATACAAAATAAGAAACAATAAAAAAAATAGGACTTTGGGTAGGAAAGAAATTAAGATTACAACCAAAACCTTTAAAGCCTCACAGCAGGGGTGTAACAGTAAAAACTACCATAATTAAAAAAATAAATAAATAAAAAAAATCCATCATTTAATTTTTTTCTAATAACAATAAATATGCAGATAACACTGCTACACACAGCAGTCCACACCAAACTAACGGAATAAACAGCTGGAAATGACTTGCTTGGTTTTTAAGGAGCACGAACAGCAGAGGGTGCAAAGATAAATGGAAAGCCCCATCGTCATAAACTAATACTTTAAATCACCCTATGATGAGACACGAGTATTAAATACAAACATTTTTACCTACAATTCCCACTAGGTTCTAAAAGCTACTGCTAATAGCACAGATGGTTTAGCCGTGTCTGCTCTGCTTTGAGATGATTTCATGATGAAAAAGAAGGAAAAATAAATTCGGTTTTTGCACTTATTTCCCTTTGAAGCCGCAAAGTGATGAAAGTTAAGCTAAAAAATGCACTGTTACACCCCTACTAAAGAAAAACAAACATCGAACCACGAATAGAAGCCAAACATATGTGCCACACACGGGGAGACTGTTAAGATTCATCTGGAGTTAAACCTACCAAACTCTCCATATGTAGGAAGAAGTCCTTTTTGGTGCAGCGCACAGAAGAAAAGACAGAAGTGAGGACAGATTCAAACAAAGAGTGTCTTAATTTAGTTTATATTCGATAAGCAGGTAAGAAAAGAGGTGAATGTGGTGGACGATAAAGGAGAATATTTGTATTTCTAGAGTCCAGGATAACAGGTTTACTTCAGTACACATTTAGCAAATATTGATGAGAATCATGCCCCTGTGTAATAACCATCATTTAGCTTTCTGACCTCTTGAATTGAGGCTTTTATCCATGTAGACTTTGTATGTGAAGGCGTGTCGTAGGGCCAGCGCTGCAAAAAACATCTCGATGCAGATGATGAAGTTCTGGTAACCGGCGGCGACCGTACCCTCGCCCACAGAAACCTCCGGCAAGTTTATCTGCGGGATCGCTCCACATTTCTCCAAGATGGCCAGCAACATGCCTGATCACAAAATGGGTTAAGATCAACAAACAAAAGAACATCCTTCACAAGTAACAAGCAAAGATTTTAGTCCAGTAGGATTTTATTTTTTAAAGTGGATCTTAAGTAAATCTTGAAAGATGTGCTCATACCCTGCCAGAAGGAGAGGAAGATGACAGATTTGACCATGAAGAACTTGAGCATCGGGCTGTAGGGGCTGAGAAGCTCCCTGGTGGAAAAGTAGAAGAGGAACAGGGCGTAGAGAGACAGGCTGACTGAGATGTTGTAGATGATGGTCACATACAGGTATCCGCTGGCAACACTGTGATGGAAAGTCAGGAGAGAGTTAATGACTTTATGTCCTTTTCTGATTGGTTGTTCTAATAAAATCAGCGCCTCAAACAGCGTCAGGTGGAGCACTCACTTAAAGTCTCCATCTTTATATTTGCCGTAGGCCTGCAGGACCACAGTGATGATGGCCATGAGAGGCTTGACCACACAGAACTGCAGCGTGGCCTGCTTACAGAACCTGAGGAATCCTATGGAGTAAGCTTTTCCTCTGAGACAGCAGGTACCGTACATACAGCTGGACCTGAAGGAGACAAATCACAGATTATAAGGAGGAATTTCAAGACAGAAAGCTTTACACGCACAACATCAGCTTTAAATGAAAAACAGCAAAATAAGGATGTATTCTAGGAACCTACTCTATAGGTTTCCCTCGAATCTCTGCCATGATGGCGCTCTCTCCTCCCAGGTACTCATAGCACAGGCTCAGGAAGTTGTAAATTACAAACGCTACAAAAAAATGACAGAAGAAGAAACTTATCACAATCATAAACATGTCTGACATTTTGGAACATGTTATTATTGATATGCAAGTCAAGAGAAACAAAGAAAACTTTGAAAATACTTTAGTTAATTGTTTTTGGTTCAAATTATAAAGGTAGAGATTCATGGTAAGTTGTTTATATAGAAACTTCTAATAGAAATAAAAAAAATAAGGCAGATATTAAAGATTTCAGAGGTCTTTTCAGGTTTTATCCATAACACACAGAGAATACAAAGATAAGAATATCTAAAAAAAACAAACACGATATCGATAAAGCTAAAGCAATTCAGCTTTACAAAAGCTTGAGGCATAAATCTGTGTTGCAGTCTGGTGGTTCTGGTATTAATTGTCTAGGTAGTGTTTCTCATATAGCAAAGCTTCAGAAAGCTCCTGTAGAGGCAGGAGAAGTTTGCAAATGCAAATTTTTAAGGGGAGATTGGTTTTACATCAGTCAATGTGATTCACACTATGTGCTGCAAACATATCAGCAATTCTTGTAGCTAATATAGCTTTATCTTCCTCCATTTGTATGATAAAAACGACAACGATAACAAATGTTACACAGGTCTCATTTTAAACAAGAACATTAACAATATATAGGAAATGGAGGGGAGTGGCAACACTTGCACTTCATATGATTTCATGAATCGACCCACATCAGCCGGCATCAGCCGATACCAAAACAAAAAAATAAACAAAAAAATAAATGATAATATCGACCAAAAATACAGTTGGTCTATCTATAGTTTAGGGCAATATTAGAAGTACTTTTCCTCCAATGCATTAAATCAGATCCTAAAGAAAGGGGAAGCTCCTTGGTTCCCCTCTCTATTTTTTGCAGGGCCCTCCTGTTTGCTACTTGGAGCTGGATACTCACACCCAGTTACGCACATACATACGGTATAAGAAGTTGTTAAAAGTCTGATATGATGTGATTTTTTAAAATGAGATTATGTTATGATAATCAATCTTATTCTGCATTATCAGCCCAATTTTTAGTGGATTGACTTCCTCCATGTGGCCAAACTGTGGCAGGCTTAGTGTGAGGGATTGCCTTCGAGTCAACGAGTCGATCCAATCAATTGGTTTTCCTTAGATAGAAAACTTTGAATCAATTTGACTGGATTATCTGGTTGAATTGTAACGTGTCTTGACATGACGACATGTGTTGTGAATTGGCGCTATAGAAATAAACTGAATTGAACTTAGAAACTTTATTGCTATATTAACCAAATTTCCTGATCCCGCTAACACCTTAAAAAATAGAATAAAATAGGAAATAGCGACAAATTTGGTGACATTTTTAAATGTTGTTAGAAACTTTGGCAACAATTTATTTGAAAGCACAGATCAGTGAGGGTTGCTTACAAGCCCCTCTCTCCAAAGCAATGACAGGCAGTCATACATTTTTTTTCTAAGTCTAAGTTTATCTAACAAAACCAGCTTTGTTTAATAGCAATTAGGAACATAAAAAGGCAATTAAGAAAACTTCTAAGCAAAGTAAATATGTGGTCTGTGAATGACTAGAATAAAGCAGGGGGGTGAACACAACCAAGAGTGGTTCTAGAGGTTTTATTTCAATGCTAAATTGACAAAGTGGTGCAAATCTAGATCTGGCTAAGTGATGCTGATTTATACATGAAAAGGGAAAAAATGCTGCAGATCTTGATACAAGACTCTGGTTTAACAAGATAGTGAGAACAGAGCACTAACAAGTGCTCTAATTAGCCATTCACACAGGAAAATATGGATTATTTCAGCGGGTAAAGAGAAGTGCTCCAATAAACATGTCAAGAAATGACCTCAATCAACTAAATCTGATCTTTATTTTAACTTTAAAGTGCATTTACTGACTTGCTTTGAGATCAAATAATCAGACTATAGAAAGAAGAAATGCCTGTGTTAAAACAACACCTGCACCCCCCTCCCCCATGACTCTTCCAGGATTAGCGGGTATGGATGGATAAAAATGAACACAACACGTAGAGACAAAACAAACACACCACAACCTAGTTGTTTCTTCTTCTACTGAACACATCAGACTCTTTCCTCCGTCTCCACGTGTTCAGAACCTCAGTTTTAGCCCCCTTGGAATAAATGTAACGAGTTTATGTGGTTAGATGTTAATTCACGACAAGCCCTAATAAGACAAACCACTGAATAATACTCCCGTCTCTGGTGACCAGTGGATTATGTATCCACCGTGATGCTTTGCTTGGGGGGGGGGGGGGGGGGGGGGAGAACACAACCAGGCTAATCCTGCTAACCTCTGAGGAATTCTCCATCTCTCTGCTTGTACAGCAGAGCGGACATACCTGTCTGACAGAGTGAAGGAGAAGAACTAGAAGAGTGTTGTAAAAGCCGGGTATGTGGAATGGGTTGCTGCTCTGCTGAAAAGGTTTTATTTAATCTTTTCTCACTGTCTTACTACCTCAGCACACTGTCACTGTGTGTGGTTGTCTGTCAGATAAAACCCAGGTAGGAGAAGCGGTCTTGTCTTCGTACCAGAAGCCAGTAAGCAGATGAGGGGACTGGTTGATGTGCATCAAAGGAGGCCTCTCTGCTACTTATTATGCTCTTTCACTCTTCCCCAAGGACGCCTGACTGCAGCGCCAGTTTCCACAGCGATACAGTAGGCCTACATACAATGAGCCGGGGAACTTACAGAAGAACTCATTATTAGATGCAGGGAGATTGGTTGATGAAGAGGATTTCTGAGGATGGTTGCTATGCAACAGGTTGGTGAGAAAAAGATCTAAAAAAGGGCTTGGCTCGAGCGTGCGAAAAGCAGAAGAGGAGGCAGGAGGCGGAAAGACGAATGCACGGAGGAAGAGCAGAGGACAGACGCATCGTGAACGGACGGAGGGCGGCAATGTGACGCAGAACAACGACGGCTCTATCGCCCACAAGCAGACTCATACACAGAGCCCATCCGGTTCCACGTGTGACATCAAGAGCTCAACCAATCAGGATGGGACTATTTCCGTCCTGAAGAGGAGAGGGAAGAGAAAGTCAGCTGCTTCTCACCCACCTTCCAGCAGTCAGGTTTCAGGACAACAAAGCCATCAGACAATATTTGCTGCATTTGCGTCACAAACTAAACAGCTCTTATTTTATCAGCAGGTTCTTCTTCTCTTTTCCCAGAATATAATTTCCAGAGTTTTTAGTCTGTCTTCAAATTATAAAGGCAAACGTTTACTTAGAAGGTGGACATTTGGAAAATCGGACTTTAAGAAAAAGAGAAGCAACCAAAAAATGAAGAAAGAATAGACTGATAGGAGGATGTCCTCACCTTCGTAGCAGTCCCTGACTGTATCAAAGTACACATAGTACTGGTCATTGGTGAAGAAGAGCAGGCTGAGCCAAGAATCAAAGGCGTAGATGGGAACAATGAAGAGGATCCGCACAATATGGCGCTGCTCTCTTGGTGAGCTGTAGAAACGGAGGTGCATGTAGATCTGGGAGAGAGCAGATATATTTTTTTAGTCTTCAGGTAATATGTATGATTATTGTTACAGTTTGGCCAAAAGATAACCATCTTTAAATAAATTAACTTATACTCCAGGCTGGATGTAGTGAGACTTAATGATGTTTGATGGTAAAAAGTTTAAAAATTTAAACCAGAATCAGGAGAAAAAAATGTTTGTTGACTTAACTTTCTATATTTTTATGAATAAAAACTATAATATAAACAAAGCTTAATCATTTTACCAGTGTTAGGAATCTAGACGTTTTTCATTTTTAACAAAAAAAGTATTTTTTAGAAAGGCTGCACAATATATCACACATTAATCCTTATCAAAGAAGTGCCAGGAATGTAATAAATATTATGTTGATTTCCAAGTTCTCGCATTCAGGCTGTCTGTGCCTAGAATATATATTGTTAACAATTTTTGAAGTTACATTTTGATAAGATCAATAAAAACAAACTAAGTTGTTTAAATGCAAAAGCAGCTCATCAGTTGGCTGGAAGCAGCCGTTTCAATAAAAGCTTGAGATGGAAAATCACTCTTTATCTGGGTTTGCTATAAAACCAACACTGATTAATTCAATTCAAAGTATTTTATTAATATCAAAGAGAATAACATGTTCTTACAAATTAACTCAGATTTTTTCTCCTGTTTATTAAAGATATTTAAAATAAAAAACCTGAGGATTTCTGACTAATAAATAACCCATCGATTCAAAGCATGAACCTTGATATATGTCTTTAGAGCTTAAAAGATGTTTAATAAAGGTTAAGGGCAGGTTAGATTCAAACTTATTACTTCAATCAAAGATCCAGAAGGACTGAATTGGTACAAATCTGATTCAACGTAACAAAAACAGCCTGGAAAGGCCTCACTGAGTCTCTGATACTCTGAGACACTTTTACCTGGTGACAGGTGAGGATGAGGGCCGTCCAGACAAAGAAGCCAGACACCGCCTGCGTAGCCGGGGACATCAGAAAGGTGGGCTGGTCTGTCCCAAGCAGCGGGGCTTCGGGGAACCAAGAGATATTTGGCCCCATCGGGACAACGGTCAGCGGAGGTTCGGGCAAACCGACCAGAGGCAAGTCGCCAGCCGGCCTCTCTGGCTGCGGCACGTCTCTCCTCCACAGCCTGAACATCTGGAACGGATCGCTGCTGTTAAGTATTCACACCCCTGCAGAGAATATGGAGGAAGACGAATCGGTGTTAATACACTGTGACAATAAAAGATGGTCGTTTCTGGATTTAGTCATCAACCGCTGGTGTGATCATACCCTCTGTTATCAGCGGGATTTGTAATGGGAGGTCAGAACAAACCCAGTTAAACAAAGTTAAACAAACCCAGTCCAAATCCACATTTCCCTTTTCTCCTGAACAATGCACTGTTGTGAGTCCTGGTTACAGAGTGGTATCACTTATTGATTCTTTTTAGTTTCTGCACTGCAGTGGATGCCTTTGGATCTCTGTCACAGAAGATCATGCAAAACATGACTCACAATGATGTCCAAAGTGCGGTACGTTGGCCATTTGGGACTCTTGAAACGATTGTGTGTGGATTATAAAAAAGACACACACACAAAAAAAAAATGGCACAAGTTTGTCCATCTGGCCAATGGAGCAGATGCAGATGGAATGAGACAATTGTAAATCTTAAATAGAAAATGTTTGGTTTTAAAAATGTTGCACCAAACCAGAATATAATTTAAAATGAAATTAGTTTGCTTTTTAAAAACGTTTTTTCTTGGTGATTATTGCTGTTTGAAATTTTTTTCCTCTTTGTTTAATTGTAAGAGAAAAAAGGACTGAAAAACTCTCTGAAAGAAAAGTTTTTATCCCTGTTTACTTATCAAAGAACATGTTGTTGCATTCTGGTTTTCACTACACTGTAAAAAAGTAAAATAAAAATACTTATAACCTAAAATATATATATTTTTTAAATTTCCAATGTAATTAAAAAAGTCACCATTTTGACCTGATTATTACACATTCTGGGCCATTTAGAGTCGTAGGGAAGCGGCTGTTCCAACCGTTGCATTTCCGAATTCCCCCGAGTGGTGCCCGACTTTACATAGTGAATAAAGGGAATGTGATTGGTCGCTTATCTAGGGGGCGGGATTGTTGTGGCGGAAGATTCGCAAGCAAGTTTGGTTGTGGCCAGTGTCACGGAAGCATCTTGCTAAC